ATAATCAGGAAGTAGGCAGGAAGAGAGATGGTAAAGTCTCAGACGACATATAATTCACTATTGGCTACTGAAAAACTTCATTTTACAGATGAGGAAGCTACAGCTCAAGGCTTTGTAACCTACACAAAGTTACACAGCTGGGTTAATAGCAAAGCCCAAAACAGATTTTAGGTCTTCTGGCTCCGAGTCAAATGCACTTTCCAATACGCCATTCACTGGTCAGATGAGACAATTGGAAAAAACAACACATGAAGCTCTCTCAATGTAATTATGTATTCTCTATCAGCTAGAAGCTAAACCTAGTTTTATACTTGCAATTTCATTCTTTTTTATTACTGAAATTATTGAGAAATCTCAATATAAAAATTCATTTGGTTTTACCTCTGCTTAATAGATTCTCTTTTTCTTCACTTTAATCTTAGGAAGTAAAAATTTCTAATGGAAAATTATTACCTTTATTGCATATTAGAGGCCCAATGCATGAAATTCGTGCACGAGTAGGCTTTCCTTCCCCCCGCTTCCCTCTGGCACCGGACCCGGGCTTCCCTCGCAGCCCCAGCTTTGTCCGGAAGGTCGTCCGAAAGGACGTCTGGTCTAATTAGCATATTATGCTTTTATTATTATAAAAGATAAGACTCTCCAGCAAAACAAAATCCTGTAAACATTACTTATAAGTAGGAGACTAAAAGGATAATTCTACTATAGATTTGGCCTAAATATATTGAACATTTCATAATCATATTTAATTAATTTATACCACTTCATATGGGAAAACTGAATTCAAGGTCGATTCAGCTTTAAAAAGTATCGAGTACCACCCTGGCTGGTATGCTCAGTAGTTAAGAGCATTGGCCCTTAGACCTAAGGGTTGCAGGTTCTATTCTCAGTTAAAGGTACATACCCAAATTGCAGGTTCTCTCAGATTAGGGTGCATTCAGGAGGCAACTGATCAATGTGTCTCTATCACATCAATGTTCTTCTCTTTGACTATCTCTCCCTTCCCTTTCTCCCTTCCATTCTCTCTAGAAAACAATGGAAAAAATGTCCTCAGGTGAGGATTAAAAAAAAAAGTACTGAGTACCTACTATGGATCAGGTCTTACTGCTCTAGTCAGAGAATTAATTACCAAATCAAAGCAAAAGAAAAAGTATTTATATCCTTTGGGACTAGGATATTTAGGCCAAACTACTTACCAAAGACAGTTAAATCTCAGTGGCCCTCCCAGTATTACAGTGATGCCAAAACCAGACAAAGAGATTATTAAAAAATCCTATATAATAAGAGTAATATGCAAATTAACCATCACTCTGCTACACCCACTAGCCATTGCCCACAAGCCAAGCAGGTGCAAATATGCAAATAAACCCAACCAAGATGGCTACAGCCACAGACAGCAGGAGGAAGATTTGGGTTTCCCAGGCAATGGAGGAAGCCAAGCTTCCCACCTGCGCTTGCCAGCCTAGGCCTCCACTCAAGGCTACCAAATTTCAATGAGAGAAGTTACATAAATTCAAACAGAAATGGCCCAGAGAGCTGGGAAGAACAGGAGGCTAGTGTTGCTCCCAGCAATGAAGGAAGGCAAACTTTCTGTACACCCCGATCAGCTCAGGCTGCTGCTTAAGGCTACAAAGTTTCAATTATAGAACATACATAAATCCCAAGAGAAATGGCTGCCATCATGGAGCAAGCAGAAGGCTTGGCTCTGCTCTAGGCTTCAAAGTTTCAATTATAGAAGATAAGTAAACCTCAGATACCAGGGGCTGTGGCCAGCCTGCAAACCACCACAGGTTGCCCCACACCCCAAGGGTACCCTTACCCATATCAGGTACACCCTTCAGGGCAAACCACTTGGCCTCCACCTGTGCACTAGGCCTCTATCCTATCTAATAAAAGAACAATATGCAGATTGACCATCACTCCAACAAACAAGATGGCTGCCTCCATGTGGTCAAAGATGACTGCCCCCATGTGGACACAAGATGGCCACCACAAGATAGCCAGCAGGGAAGGGTAGTTGGGAGGGACTAGGCCTGCAGGGAAGGCCAGTTGGGAGGGACCCAGGACTGCAGGGGAGAGCATCTGGGGTCAGGGACCAAGTCTGCAGGGAAGGGCAGTTGGGAGGGACCAGGCTTGAAGGAGAGGGCAGTTAGGAGCAAACAGGCTGGCAGGGGAGTGGTTAGGGTGTGATCAGGCTGGCAGGCAGAAGCGGTTAGGGCAATCAGGAAGGCAGATAGGCAAGCAATTGGGAGCCAGCAGTCCTGGATTCTTCTCAGACTGAAGAGGGTGCAGGCTGGGTTGAGGGACACCCTCTTGTGCATGAATTTCGTGCACCAGGCCTCTAGTAAATTATAAGCCAATATCCTTGATGAACATATCGGTAGATGCAAAAATCCTCAGCAAAATATTCGCAGACTGAATGCAGTAAGATAATTAAAAGATCACATACTAGGAGTAAAATGGTGACTGGCAAGACAGCAGGGAGAGAGTATAAGAAAGTGAGGGAACAAAAGGGATGTGTGTAGATGTGTCTGGAATGTGTGTGTGAGCTAGGAACAGTTAGATCCTAAAGGACTTTCGGGGGCTGGTGGACCAGGCAGTCTTTGACTGCGAGATCCCACTGCCACTGCAAACACGCCTGAGCAGCCGGTGCTGGCACAGAAAACACACCATCTTGAAGGACAGAACTGCTGTGATTAGGATTCTTACCTCACCACCACCCATACTGGCCTCAGATACAAACCAGGACCCTACAGCCACTCTGGACAAAGGTCTGCTACCACAGCTGCATACCCAGGGACACTGAGACTCCAGACATCCCGGACACAGGATAAGTTTCTGTGAGTTAGAGTGCATTCCCTTCCCTGCTTACCCGCGGCAGTGACATAGGGCCTGTGTGACTGGTGGCACACGAATGCGTCTCCTGCCAACACCGGGTGGCTGTGCAGCCCCACCCCCCTAGCAGGCCAGGAACTTTGATTAGCAGTGCATGCGCTGAAGGCCACACTGAACACCAGTGACTTTGATTCTCGGCCTGTGCGCACAGGGACCCTGATTCTCAGAGAGTGCTCAAGACCACACTAAGTGCCAGAGACTCTGATTCTCTCTTAAGTACCAAGGACTCTGATTCCCAGGCACACACACAGGGACTCTGTTTCTCAGCGTGCGCGTACAGGGACCCTGATTCTCAGCGCATGGACAAGATCTCACTGAGCATCTGTGACTCTGATCCTCAGCGCAGGTATGCGGGAACTCTGATTCTCAGCGCGTGTAGCTCCCGCCAATCATAGCAGCCACACGTCTTGGTGTCTGAGCTCTTCAGTGACACTCAGGTGGTGTGATGCTCCTGCCGCACACAGCTCAGACCCCCACAACTTGGTGTTTGGACCTTCTGGTGATTGCAAAAATGGGGAGACAATGAAATAATCCCCAAAGGAAAGAAAAAGAAGAATCACCAAGAAAGAAAATAAGTAAAATGGAGGCACGCAATATGTCAGAAAAAGAATTCAAACTAATGGTCATACAATTCATAAAGTGAATGGACGAGAAAATCAACAATATATGCAAAATTCAGGAAGAAATCAAATGTTATATAGCTGCAATAAAAAACGTGATGGAAGGTTTCAATAACAGTCTAGAAGAAGCAGAGGACTGATCTAGTGAGTTAGAAGATAAGGTACAGAAACAAGCCCAATCTGAATAGCAACTAAAGAAAAAAATTAAAAAGCAAGAGAAGAGCCTAAGTGTGCTTTGGGACAACATGAAATGAAATAACATATATATAATAGGAGTGCCAGAAAGACAAGAAGAGCAGGCATGGATGACAATATATCTGAAGAAATAATGACAGAAAACTTCCCTCATATGGGGAATAAAAAAATCACACAAGTACAGAGGGTCCCAAGCAAGATGAGCCACAAAAGACTCACACTAAGACACGCCATAATTACAATGGCAAATGTTAACAACAGGAGAAAATCTTAAAGGCTGCAAGAGAGAAACAGAGAGAGTTTCCTACAAAGGATCCCCCATCAGATTAGCAAATGATTTCTCAACAAAAACTCATCAATCCAGAAGGGAATGGAATGAAGAAAATACAAAGTGATGCAAAGAAAAGGACTGAATACAAGAATACTCTTCCCAGCAAGGCTATCAATCCAAGTTGAAGGAGGAAATCAGAAGCTTCACAGACAAAAAAAATTAATTAATTAATTAAAATAAAATAAAATTAGGGAGTTTATCACTACTAAGCCAGCAATGCAAGAAATGCTAAAGGGAATTCTGTAAAAAGAAATAGAAAGGGAGGAAGGAACACAGGCATAAAAAATAGAAATGTATCTATCAATAACCACATTAAACATAAATGGATTAAATGCTCCAATCAAAAGACATCAAGTGACTGAATGGATAAGAAAACATGACCCATATATACACTGTCTATAAGAGAGCTGCTTCAGAACAAAGGTCTCATACAGACTGAAAGTGAAGGGATGGAAAAATATCTTTTGGGCAAATGGAAATGAAAAAATAACTGGGATAGCAATACTTATATTTGACAAAATAGATCTCAAAGTGAAGACCATAACAAGAGAGAAGGAAGGCCACTTCATAATTCTAAAGGAATTGATCCTATGAGAGGATCCCAATGCAGGAGCACCCAAATAATCCAAACTTCTGGAAGATATCAGGGGAGAGATATGAAAATAAGACAGCAAAGAGATTTTCTAAAATATAATATATAAATCTAAATTTAAAAAATTTCTTTTAAAGTTTCTTAAGTTACTAAGGACTCTCTTAAATTATATTTATAGATGTTAACTCCAGTTTTATGAATTCTCAAAGGTGAGAACATATTATTTCAATAAGACAACATTTATACTATTCCAAAATACTTTTAGAGATAGAACCTAAATCCCAAATCACTTGTTTAAAATGAAAATTGTCCAAATCTATCCAAAGTGTTTTTCTTTGGAAAACTGCACATAGGAAAAGGAGATCTGTACCTTTCCATTACAGCGAGACACTCTTTTCTCCAGGTAAATCGACTACCTCGTCGTAATCTGAAGGTGCCAGATGTAGCAGAGACTGGGGGAGGCGTTTGTCTCCATTCTGGGTCTTCTATTGGAATGGGGGCCGGTCTCATACTTAGCGTAGCCCCTGAAATAAACAAGGTATTTTTTTTAAGCAAATATCTTCTAATTTATTAAAACCAATGTGATACATGTATCATGAAATCAACAGTAATAAACTTTTGCATCTTCATTAAAACTTACAGGCTATATTAACATATTTTATTGTTTTTTTTGTTTTTACAGAGAAGAAGGGAGAGGGATGGAGAGTTAGAAACATCAATTAGAATCATTGATCACCTGCCTTCTGCATATCCCCTACTGGGGATGTGCCCGCAACAAAGGTACATGCCCTTGATCGAAATCGAACCTGGGATCATTCAGTCCACAGGCCAACGCTCTATCCACTGAGCCAAACCAGTCAAGGCTGATATATATATATTTTTAGAAATAGAAATTCTTTGAACAAAATAAAAATCTAAAGAAACAAAAACTCTTCCTTAAAAAGTCATCATTAATTATTTTATGTCCTTTTCCTCCCGGTTTGTCAGTTGTCTTTTATCTTTGTGTCATTTTATTGAAACAAAACTCAAAATCTATCTCTTTTGGAGAATAAGTATGATATTTAGACGAGTGACAATCAGATTACCTTCCTCTGAAAAATCTCTTGAAATTCCTATTTGAAAGTTTTAATCTTTTTGAACAATTCCCCTCTATGTTCAGAAAATTTCTTTACCATTCAAAGGATTTTTTTGTTATTGAGAAAATGGAGCCCTAAAAGTATATATGCAGGAAGGAGTTGAATTTAAAATAATCCTAATTTTTGTAAACTCTAAGTCGCATAAATATAGCATAAAAGAAAATAGGATATTTCATATGCTTTAGTGTACTGACGAAATCAAATCTCCATAGGTCTACTACCTGTTAATGCTAAATCCCATTTTCTGTTACTTCTGTCATATAATTAAAACACATGACAAAATATTTATAATTGAAATACTGTACTAATTCAGACTACCTTTTCTCAAATAGCCTGAACTGGTGATAATGCATGTATTCATTCCTTCATTCATTTACCAAACCCTTTTTACATGGCTTGTTCTAGGCTAGAAGCAATAAATAAAACAAACCAAAAAAAGCAACATTATCGTTGACTTCACAGACTTCATTCAAAGAATATAAATGTAACTTGGTATGCTATCATAGAATTCACTCCCTGGCTCTCCCACTGTTCTACCTTTCTTAATTTTTTTTTCAATTACATTCAATATTATTTTGTATTAGTTTCATATATCCATCAAAGTAGTTAGAAAATAATATACTTTATAATACCCATCTGACACCAGACATAATTATAATATTATTGACTGTAGTTCCTATTCTCCCACTATTCTTTCATTCTTTACACTGTGAAATTCATCTTCCCAAGCATAATTATGATCATATCACTATGCTGATCAAAAACCTTCAAAAAGGTTATTCCTTCTGACTATGGAATAAAATCTAAACTCAATATAGCCCTAGAAAAATAGTTTAGAACTGCTTAGAATTATGTGGAATAACAATATTGCACATGTTAATAAATATTTATTCCTTTTTCCATAAATAAATCATACTTTATTTATTATACCTTGTAATTAGTACCATAGGTAGTATTTCTACATCATCACATATTTAGATTTCTCCTTAAGGGTTATAAGATCATATGCATTCTCTTATACAGATGCCCAGTCCTGATTTCCCTCTCCAAACTTGTTGCTCTTATGTCTTTCTGATTGGAGTAAATGGCATCACCATTCTTCAAATTGCTTAGCTCTAAAATCTAAGGTTCATATTTGACTTCTCTATTTCTCCCACATACTATATATCCAGTCCAAAGACAAATTCTGTCAATTTTTTCTTCAAAATATATCCAGAATCAAGCTAATTTGGTATTACTTTTATTGCTACTACTTTAGAACAAGCCAGCATCATCTCTCTTACACATAACTTCTTGGGATAGGTTCTAAAGATGGTCCTTCACAGTAAGTCCCACCTCCTGGTAATCATGCCCTTGATCTGGGCTGGTCCTGAGACATTTTGGCATCAGAAAATGAAAACAATTCAAGGCTGGGTCATAAGAAGCTTTTCAGTTCTTAACTAGATCTCCTTGATGCTGGCTCTTAGCGAACCAGCTGCCACCTAAGTATGATTAACCTGAGACCACAATGTTATAAAGAAGACCAAGCTAGCCAGGTAGAGTGAAAGATGCCCAGCCAACCCCGAGGTGCTCCTGCCAAATGTATCCAGGTGCCAGACATTTGAGAAGAAAAGCCATTCTAGCTACAGGACATACCATGCAGACAAATGCAGAACCCAGCTGGACAGAAATAAAGCCCTCAGCATTATTTAGTCCCAATACAAGCCAAATGGTAGTGACCCTCCAAAGTGGTTCCCAAGGATCCCTGCCTCACCCTGTTGTGTAGTCCCCCCTCATCCCCTCGCCGTACCAGAATTAGTCTGTGGTAGTATGTGACTTCCAATATTAGATTAGAGAATGCACTGTGGAATCTGTCTTGGTTGTCTGTCTCTTGGATCACTGGCTCAGGGAAACTAGCTGCCATGCTGTAAGGACATTCAGGGAGCCAATGGTGAGGCCCATGTGGCTCTGATGTCTCTGGCCAGCAGACAGAAAGGAACTAGGATCTGCCAACACTCACATGCATCATCTTGAGAATACACTGTGCAGCTCCAGTGACTGTGGCCCCGGCAGACAACTCAACTACAACCTAATGAGAATGCTGAGCCACACCATCCTGGCTAAGCCATGCCTGGATTCCTGACCCACAAAAATTGTGAGACAATAAATGTTTGTTGTTTCCGGCTCCTAGTTGGTGGGGTAATTCTTCAGTTTATTTCCCCATTTTCCTTGATACACTGAGTATTATAAGTATTACTAATTATTCACATTTATAAACTTACCAGGCAAAAATTTCTCTTTAATACAGATTTTACTATTAGTAAGAACGACCATGTTTTCCTGTTTACTATAGCCATTATGCACCTTTTCTTTTGAGTTTATATCTTATGTCCTTTTTTCTTTTGTTATTCAACTTATTGGTGTGTACAAAGTCATATATAGGTTCCAACTATTTTCCCCCCAGTTTGTCATTCATCTTTTATCTTTAATAACTAGAGGCCCAATACAAGAAATTCATGCAAGGGGCTCAGCCCTCGCACGCCAACTGCCTCAGCCCTCACAGCCCGGCTTCGCCTGGAAGGTAGGAAGATCGTCCAGATGGCCATTCTGCTGTTGACCTAATTAGCATATTGGCTCTTTATTATATAGGATGGTATGCTTTGTGGTCCTAATTTTTATGTATTCATATCTGTCAATATGTTCATTTATGGTCAATTCACTTTGCATCATTCAGAATATTTTTATAGTTTTTTCATTTTTGTAAAAACCCTTAACTTCTTCCTGTAATGGACAAGTATGCCATCATACAATGATTTAGAGATTCATGACTTAAAATATAGGGCAAACTACGTGTTGCCATTGTTTAAAGTTTTATTTGAACACAGCCATACCCATTCAAATACACATTGTCCTTTCTTATTTTGCACTACAATGGCAGAGCTGAATAGCTGTGACAGAGACCACATAGCCTACAAAGCTTAACATATTTACTATCTGACCTTTTATAGAAGAGTTTACTGCTGACCCCTGGTTTAAAAAATTCCTGGCCTACACACTGTGAAACTCTAAACTGAAATCCTTTTTTAGACAATTCAAGAAAAAGGATTCCATGCTGCCAAGATATCTTGGCAATTAGGTCTAGGTCTAATTCAAAGTTAACAAAATTTAGGTGTAAGAAGGAACTATGGTGCCGGAGAGTTTAAAAATCTTTATTTTGGTACTTTTCTGAATGCAAACAAATTACAGTCTGACAACGGCGCTGGAATTTAAGTAGACTATGTAAATTTAGTTCTACCGCCATCATAAAAGCTCCAAAATAGAGCTAAGCTGTTATCATGGTTGATCAAGGCAGAGGTAGAAACAGACTGGGTAAGGCAGTAGGTCCTCTCATCCAAGTCCTGACTATAAATGGGTACAAATAAATCAAAGAATACAAATACTCTTAACTTATGAGATTGGAGAAAATAAGGCAACTAATAATAATGGTTCTTCCCTGGTATTGGGGTTTATTGGTAATATAACTTAATGTTTCTTTATAATGTTCAGTGTTGTCCAATGAATATTATAAAAAGTTTAGATAAAACAAAATTGGTAAAAGAAAGGGAGAGAGAAGCAAGGAGGAGAAAAAAAGAAAAGTGAATAGTGGCCTGATTACTTTAAAAGTGCCCTAACTAGTTTGGCTGAGTGGCTAGCACATCAGCCTGCAGACTGAAGGGTCTTAGGTTTGATACTGGCCAAGGGCACATGTCTGGGTTACAGGCTTGATCCCCATAGGAGGCGTGCAGGAGGCAACCAGTCAATGATTCTCTTTCATCATGATGTTTCTCTCTCTCTCTCCATCTTACTTTCTCTCTGAAATCAATAAAAGTAAATTTAAAACAAAGAAAAAAAGAAATCAAGGTAATTTTTGCAAAGAAAGTAGAAATTCTGAATAATTTCAAATTTGAAAACATAATTCTTTTGAAGCAATATTATTACTTTACTTTTTTCAATGTAACAGCATTGAAAATAGCACAAGAAGCATTCTGAAAACACTCGAATAAACAGAATTTTGTTCCAGAAAACTTGGTTCATCTTGCTTTGGTCAAAATTGATAGAGAGCAATGAATAACTAAAAAATGTGTTAAAATTATTGACTTTGACAGAAAAATACAAAGATACTAGACTGCAGGAACAATGCAAATATAAGACTTAAAACCCATTTGAAAAAAAAATATGAGTTCTATTTTTTTTTTTTTTTTTCTAAACAACCCACTTTCCCCCCTCTTTAGAGGAAGTGTGTTACCTATTTTCTTTACAGAAAAAAAATTTTCACTTTATATTTGGGCTCCCATTAAGACAAAATTTTGCACATTTATATAGCAACTCTAAACCTAAAAGGGGGAAAAAACACCTCTTCCTAATTTGTG